CCAAACTATTCTGTGATCCAGTCGACAGCATAACCATACAGTTCTATTTGTACAACTGAAGAAGCGGTAAACTGCAGTTATGGCAGGAAACTGCAGCAGATTTTTAAGTGGTTTTGACAAAGAGAAAATATAATTTCAAACTATACTCTTACAAAAATTTGGGTGTCTCTATATGGGAATATTTAGAGAAACTAAAACATTAATTACGTTTGTTATTCCAATGTTCAATTCAAGTATATTAAACCTCATCTCTAAACCTCTCAACTAGGAGTAAACAATCTAATTAAGCTTGTTTATATTTGAATTTAGTCAAGAAAATTGGTTAGAAAATGAGTGGAGTAGGACAGACTTTCTTACTTTCAAATGAAAGTGACCATGTGTGGCATTTTTCAGGGAAACAGTTGATGTGATCTCAGTCTACTCATACTTAAAAGAAAAATCATTCAGATTTAGGTATCATTAGGTCGTAAGTGGACTAAGCTAGTAAAAGGCAAGGCCATGCTACTTTTGAAGGGAGTAGCCACACAGAAATCTATTGTCCTTTCATTTACATAGAATTCCTTCACAATATTTACTGAATAATATGATTTCTCTATTTATTCTTATTTAGAATTTTAGTTAATTAAAATCTGATCATGGATGGGGGAGGGAACTTTGGGTCAGAATCTGTTTGATCAAATTCTCCTTATCAAATCAGAGTCTTCTGTAAGGCATATCAGAATTCAAGCAAATTTGTGTCAGTGAATTGTCTGCTTTTTTGAAGCAAATTTTTTGAAATTTGCTTCAAAATAACAGCACCTGTTATTACCTGTTTTTCATACAAGTTCTGGTATGCAGTAGCTTCAGGCCTCATATTATTAAACATGAAACTAAATGCACTGTTTTGAAATCCTGCACTATTCGGCCAATTTTTGGTGACATTCAACCAACTCTCTGTCTAGGAAGATCCACCAAAAAATTTTTCCCTATTCTACCCCACAGATTTTCTCCTTTTCAGAATTTCTCTTGACTTTATTTTTAGACAGAAAAGCATCTTAAGAAATAAAAATATGTAAAAAAAGTTTGGTTTGGAGCAACTGTTTCCCAGCCTACTGGCCTCACTGTATTTCTATAGCCCCAGAGACTGCAACACTTTTAAGACAGTTCACATAATTCAGTATCTGAATAAAACTTCTCTATAGTTTTGACAACAGATTTGTTATGTTCTCTGATCTTAACTTGAAATATATAAAGAGCTGTGCTAAAACCAAATGGTTTACATATACACAGTAAGAAGTACAGTACCTAATGAAATACTTTGTAGTATTCTGTCACAATGTAACTGCTACAAACATAAATGTGTAAAAAATCACAAATTTAAAGTATCCTCTGACCTCTTTTTTGTCTAAAGCAGCATATTCAGCTTCAATGCTTTCAGCTTCAGGATCACGTGAAAATACCATTCGAGATTCCAGATTGAGAGCCAGCTCTTTGTGGTGTTGTTTCTCTGCGCAGTCACATGGGGTATCTTTATTCTCATTTTCTGCAAACAAATCTCCACCATGTTTTACTAGAAGCTGAAAAGTAAAACGGCAAAGTAAACAGTTACCAACTCTAATAATACCCTAAAGGAAAGACATGTCAGTTATATAAAGAATAAAAAAAGATGAACAAGGAAAACAGAAAGAAGAGACAAATAAAATAGCAATGCTCTTTGGGAAACAAAGACTCTCTACTGTTACTAAATAAATTACTGCTTGATTTCATACATAATTATAACTATACCCATCTTAATTCCATGGAACCATAAAAACTCAGAAATTTGTTACAAGGCAATGCTGTACAATGTGTCTCCATTAGGTTTTAAACAATGAAAATCTGCTCTACTGATACACTCAGTGCTCCATAGAAAATGAGGGGCCTGAGGTCATCAAGCAGCCAAGACAGAGCTAGATACACCCTTAAATATTGGTTATATATGGGTGTGTTCTTCCCAGCACTGGTACACTGGTGGTGATAGAAAATGGGGGAATCTTTGGGTAGGAGGGAAGATGGAATACCAATTCACAGCCAGTACATACTACTGGTAGCTCTACTTTATTTTTGAGGACATGAGAAAAGTGGAAAGAAATAATTCTAGTTCTAATACAGTCTAGTACTGTGCCATTTTAGCAACTTTGTCTCTTGCCAGTAACCACTCATAAATTGAGTCTTTAGCTATTAAACACTAATTGTGCTGCTCTCATCCTTTCCAACCTTGTCTCCTGCTATAAACTGGTCTGATAAAAGCAAGGACAACAAATGCCACAGATTTTAAAGGCCAACAGTGGACCACTTTGCTGATTTATTACGACATCTTTATAACACATGCTAGACTTCCAATGATGGAGCAGCCAGGACAATAATTCACTAATAAATGATTTATCTTATTTCGAAATAAAAGTAAAATCTGTAAACATTATCTTGTCTTCAGACCATGATGGCTGTAACAACACTATCCTGTATTTTTAGCCAGAATATTTCAAAACTCAGGTTCTAATTTTTATACTTCTAAAATGAATATTTTTTCCCCCAAATGATCTGTTCTCTACATAAACCTTTGAGATTATGATCAGCCACTTCTTTTCTCTTCAGCAGACTGTGTTTCCTTCACCTGTTACTATAAAATACATACTGCATTTTACAAACCTGGAATAATTCTTGTAAATTCTTTGGAAACTTCTCCCACATTCTCCAAAATAAAAAGAAATGCATACCCCAAAATACCACAAACCAGAGCATTAACAAGATTTAGTTGAGAAGATATTAGTGTCATTAAGTATGACACCATATGTTATCTTCAGAGCAGATCATCAGGCAGAAATGAAGATAATGCTAGGATAATTATCAAGCTACTCAGCCTACAGTTACCTTGTTCTATCTAAACTTCTTAACATTGGCAAAACTTTGTTAAATTGAGTTTTATTTTCTGTCTATTCATTTTAAACTCTAACAAAAATTTAACTGAGGCAACTAAGACACCTTCTGAGAAAGAAAAATAGTAAATATAATTGAAAGAACACTCCATAGACCTACGCAGCTCAAAATCTAGTACCCAGGATGAGGAAAACACAAATCAACAAGTTTTTAATAATGATTACATATTTTCTGGTAGCACTGTTAAAAAGGCTTGTATCCATACATAATTAAAAGGAGAGTAATAATTTAAATAATCACATTCATAATCTAATCACAAAAATGCCATTTAATACACCAAATATGCTGTGACAGCATGGAATATATCAACACAAAATCTAATCTAGTCAGCATGGAACCTAAGCCTTTTTTCTGTTCAGCATTTTGAAGGCAAGCACATTAACTTTGGCCAAACTATCTTTAGCAGGGGGTTCCACACAGCACTTCTGCTCAGAAACTTAACACATGTGAACGGATGAGTATCAAGACTGCACATTTGACTATCAACTCTGAACAAATCAGCTAGCGGGTGGTTCACCCACAAAGGACTGTTTTGCTTTTTCCTTTCCTTACGTGGGTGTGTCAGGGATAAGAGAAGATACAGGGCTGGGGTTTTCCTGAGAAGTTATGGAAAAAGAAGGGGACGATTAACGGGGAATGCTGCTGTGAAGTGAGAGTAACCACCACAAAACCAGGCAGGCAGTGGAGAAGAACGGCAAAAGGTCCTCCTGGGGTTCTAAGTAACCTTCAGTTTACTGGAGAGAGGGAAGACGATTTGAGGATTAGGCAAATCATTTCTTTATCTTTTTGTTTTGCTAAGAACTTTAATCCTCACATACTTCCACGAACAAAGAGTATAATTCCTTCACTAAGTTCTGTTTTGGGCTTCTGATAATGTTGTGTTCCTGTTCATAATCCTGTTCCTGTTGACTACAGACTATACTGGAGGATTTAAGATATCTCAGATACTAATCTTAGGATCCAAGGCCCTCTACCCTACAGTAGGGCACATAATGAAGTTCTGGCTTGGAGGTGTACTCTATGTTTCTAATGTAGAAACCATGACTAGTTAGACTACATATCTACGTCCAAACTCTGGCAAATGGCAAGCTACGTGGATCAGACCGTAAATTCTTCAAAGACAAACTGAAAGCAAATTAGAGTCAGAAATGGTTTAGTCAATTGAACAGTACATCTTGTCATGATAACATAACCCAGTTTGCATAATTAAATGGGGAACTAGCAGTCTAGTAGCTGGATTCATCTAATGAATTGTATCACAGACAGTGAGAAATAGAACAATCATTTGTGAGAAACACAAACCATGAAATTTCATGATGAGTTTAAAACCAATTGATTTTACAGTCTGCAGTTAAAAGCTGCAGCCCAGCTCCAGAACTACAATTTACTCCACAGCAACTATGATTCTTTTCAACACCACAGTCTGCCTGGATCTTACTGTGTGACCCCATTTGCTTCATGCTCTTCAAATAGAAACTTTTGAACTGTGTCTACCTCTAATACCACTGTACAGCCCTGTCTACGGCATGAAGGCAGAACGATTGAGGCAGAAGACTTCTTGCTCCATTCCCTTGTAAATCTGAAGTCTGTTACCTGGGATCTCAAGTGTAGACAGACAGACAGAAGACAAAAGAAATAAGAATTTATGTGGATAACGTAATTGTTCCTTCTTTTTGCAGTATATATTCACAAGGGTCCAACAGTAAGTTGTTAGTGATTAATACACTAATGTTAATAAATAATTAACATTATTGTTGGTTAATAATTAACATTATGTGTTGATTAATACACATGTTAGTGTCTAATACACTGATTAGTAAATCAGTATGTTAGACATTTCACAAATGCAAGTAAGGAAGTTTGTAAATGCCAGAAATTGAAATATGTTAGAAACTGGCTTCTAAACTTTTATTCTCTTTACCATTTCTCTACCAGAAGCAACCCTTCTCACTGCAAATGATTTTATGGGAGTGTTTTTCACCAACTCTGCTCAAAGAGGTCATTAAATGCTAAATCCTGATAGCTCCCATTTTCTGATGTGACATGTACGTTTGTCCCCTAATGTACAATAATGTTCAAAAGCAAATGGATCTTCTTGAGGGAAGGTTAGAAAGAACAACTGTGACTGAAAATCCCAGTAGCCAGAATTCATCAAGCAGCTGGGTCAAACAAGTGGCATTAAAAAACAGAACAAGAGAAAAGTACACAGTCCTTCACAATTAATATTTTTGTTTGTTTATCAGATCTGAAAAGAATTAAAAGTTGACAATCACAACAAAAGCAGTATTAACACAGACCTAGGAGACAGCCTGGTATTTGTTTACAAATAAATCGCATCAGAAGAGGCACTAAATGAATCATATAACCATACCAGTAAGGAAAGATTCGTTCTAGTTGACAGGAAGAGCCAGGCAGTACCTGTAATTCAGTTACCATGTACATATTAGCTGGGTCTGAGTATAATTCTGCTAGCAAAGACTGCACAGTGACTCATCTCCCTGGGGAAATTCAGTAAGTAAACAAACTAAATTTCTAGGGATGTGTTGAAGACAAACTGCTAGCGTGGAGCTCGTAACAACACAGGGCACAGAGGAAGGAAGGTACAGGGGCAAGATTTAGGCTGTGACACTGGGGGTTAAATTTCAGAATAGCAGCATCCTCCTAATTCCTCTCAGTACTTGAGCAAGGGACCAGAAAGACAGAGGCTTAAGTTAACATTATCCAGTGATAGGACGCATGGGAATAGTTCAAAGCTGTGCCAGTGGAGGTTTAGACAGGACAGTAAGAAGCATTTCTTATCAAGAGGGTAAATGTTCTTAATTCAAAATGTTACCAAAGAACCACTCAATAACAATTCCCCAAATGTAATCAAGATTCACCATTCTTGCAGAATCAGAAAAAAAGGACAAATCCACTGCCTAATTTCAAAAAGTGGTATTAAGTAAAAGCATGGGAAAAAACCTATTAACGTCAAAAGAACCTGTGAAGGCAGAACGACAGGACACAATTGTGCGGGAAATAAGAAGCTGAAGTTGTCTCTAGATGAAGAATATGTAAAGAACAAAGTCTGGAAAAGGTAAATGTAAAATCACAATAAAGCAAGCTCTGAATGTTTTTCAGAACAGTATGCCAAGTGCATAACAAGCCAGAATAAATCATTTTGACACATTTACTGTGTGATGTTTTAATGTGTTTGTAAAGTTGCTGCACAAAGTGCAAAAGCAATCTCAAATGTTCTAAACCAGAAAAGTGATATGAATTGTTGGAATTCAGATATTCTGTGGATGTACCACACATGCTTTATGAAGTCTGTTTCAAAATGAAGTCTCAGAACAAGAGGTTCTAGAACAATCAATAAACCAAATACTAATATAAATACCCAGCACTAGATGGTACTTATTCATGAGTCCTAATGGAATTCAAATATGAAACTTCTGAACTATTTATTATAATTTACAACTTATTGTGTAAATCTGCCACGGTAAAGATTAGAAGGTGGTAAAAGTAACACTAAAACTAGCTCCAGAGAAAATCAGGGAAGTACAGGGAGAGTGTCAGTTCTTACTGCACAGAAGTCACCAGTGAAGTTCCAGACGTTGGGACCTAACTGTTTAAGATTTGCAGAAGTTATTTAGAAAAGCAGGTGAATAAGGAGGTGACAAACTTTGCTGATGAATCTAAGTTAATGAGTGTAGTGTCAATAAACATGAAGTTATACACAGCAGAAAAATAACCTAAATATTATACATAAGTACTGAACTCTGAATTAAACATTACCTTTCAAATACAAATCTTGATGTTGTAATAGACAGACTTATGAAAACATAAGCTGCTTTTGAAAATGTTAGCTGTTGGTTCTTGTGTTCTTGAAATTAAATTACTGGCACAATTAAATACTAGTCCTCATTACTTGGTATAGTTTAAAAAGTAAATCTGACGGGAGACCTTCAAAGTCACTATGATTCCATATTACTCATTACTATCCACTACTTTTACAAACATTAAAGTAATTTTTAATTTGTGAAAAGGTAATTATATTTGAGTCTGTTAGCACAGATGTATGGCACTCTCTAAAAAAGCTGGGCACTGTAAATTAAAGACATAAGACCCGTTCTTGAAACATTTCCAAGTCTCAGCTACAGAGCAGAATAAAAAGAGCTCTGATTTTCTCTCAGGCAGTTATTTCACTTCTCTTTACACATACAGGTGTGCTTAGGCATACCTTTAAAGCTTTTTCTCCAGCGTTACAGTTTTGTAATTATTTCAAATTTCTATAAACCTATATGAGTCTTGCTGCTGAGGAGTTTATGTCATGAAGGTAATGTATATGTAATGCATTTTTTACGTTGTTCTCTACAGACAGTGTAAGTTTTGGGCTGTTTAACTTTTCCAATTAATGAAAAATAGAATTAAAAATTAATTCAATATACTCTATCAGATTTTTTTCCCTGGAATGGCTTTGTGAAACACTGTGCATGTCATTTACTAATAGCAGCATACAGACTTGTCATCATCTAAGAACTTTTACCTCAACACAGGTTTTCATCCCTGAGGCAGCAGCATAGTGCAAAGGAGTATTTTTTTTGTTATCAACAGCATCAATGGCTGCTCGTTCATATTGTCCTTCATCCAGCTTTGCTCCCTTCCACTTCAGGATCATTTGCAGACAATCTGCTCTTCTGCAGTCATCTTCTGAGGGTCGTGTCAGGCGAGGATGAAGAGCCCCTTCTGAGATCATGATCTGAGGTCCCATACACAGTAAGTGCATAGATGTCTCATTGTGCACATTCCGTTTATTTGGGTTACCGTCTCTAACAAAAAGGAAAGTTCTGCAAGGGGGGGAAAAATAGAAGAAAATTATTAGCACATTCATTTCCTTGAAATGAGAAGGGTCTATTGTGACTTCTCTCTTCTTGCCAAGATTTTCACTAGCCATGTGAGTGATAAACATTATAAATAGATAATTACTACTGGACAGCTCTCCATTTCTCTTAGGAGTCAGTAGCCAAGATCTGGATGAATTACTGGAATATCATTAAGTACCATATATAATTACTTTGTTACTATGTGACACAAATTTTATCCAGCAGTTTATTCTACAATTCTGTGTTGTATTGCAATAAATGTTATTAAAGCACAAGATTGACGAAATAGATACTTTATTTTTTCTACTCAGTGTCCTGAATAGTAGTGCATTTGGTAGTCTGCAAATAGATAATGCTGGAGTAATTTCTAAAAAACCCATTCTCCTTTCCCATATCTTTAGGCAGATGCTAGAGGCAGATCAAGACAGTACTTACTACTTCTTGAAAATATATTAAATACTTTTCCTGCTAGTACTATATGCACTGAGGAAAGACTATTTGCTTTCTCACTCTAGAATATATGGAAGCGCAACATAATGCAAACCCTCACCTATGCAGATGACAGAGGCTGGCAAGAATTAAAGTCTTCTCTTGAATACTTTACAGGCAGTTCAAAGTGGACAATAAACTAAATTGGCAAAAAGGATCATCTTAGGAATGAAATGGAAACAACCAACTGGTTCCTGGAATCACAAATCTGATTCCTGACAGCTCCTGAGAAAACACAGCGCTCTCTTGCTTCTTGCCAGCAAGGGACTATAGAAGTCACAATGCAGTTCTGAAATGGAAGAACTGAGATATATCACAGAAGCCCAATAAAGCCCAAACTTGCTTTAGCCTTTTGAGGTACACTAAAATAATATTTTTTTTTCCTTAAGGGAGGGTGAATTGTAGGAAATGGAAGGAATAAATACCATCTCTTTGTAGAACTGGGGTCAGAGAGACAGCAACGAAAGAACTCCCTGTGAAGGTAGGGGGACAGTTCCCAGAAAGGTAGGAGCAGGTTAGATGAGCTGCATGGCACACGTATTCCGCAAGTCATTGCACAAACATTTGCACTGTCCTCATAAGCCTCCTCACACGTAAAACCAGCAGAAACCACTGTTCATTCCCTCTCCAGGCTGTTCCCTGACTGAACAGTTTGCAGGTATGAAGAAACAGTTATTCTGGAATCCTTATTAAGTGACTGCAGGGGATCAGCTTCCACTCTCCCTGTCCTCACCCCCAAGCCTAATTATAAACAGTTCTAATCGCTTTCAGTTTAAAACAGGCAGCTCAGCCACCTGAAGGCTCTAAATACAAAATCAGACCATACTGCTCGTGGTGAACACAGATGAGCAGAAGAACTCGTAACCAAATTGACAAAAGCAAAGTTACTGCCCTATGCTGTGGTTACAAGTCTAAATCCCATCTCCCCTCTCTCTCGTTCCTGAATACATCCCACCAGGCACTACATAGTAGGCCTTTCCCTCTCTCAGAGTTCTCCCATGCTTTGTTTAGGACAAAGAATAATCCTGAAACTATTTTATTAATAAAGGAAGAGGCTATACAAGGGTGGGTGTGGAATTTCCCTTTCAAAAATTATTGAAAACAGACTGGACAAGTATTTCAGTAGAAAAACTTAGGCAGAGTTGATCTGGTCCTGTGGTAAAAGGATGTCTCAATGCTAGACGTTCAGTCAGCCAGATTTCTGTCCCTTCTTCCCTCTGAAAATCTCTGAACAGTTTTCAGTTCAGAAAGAAACTTATTACTAAAATACTGTTCTTTAAATAACTGGTAACAAAGTAGTCAGTGGAAGAGAGAAAAACAAAACAGTCGTCTCTATGCTGCCCTATTTTGGCAGCAAAAATGTTCCTTAGAGAAATCTCTCTTTCATTCCATGATAGCTGACACAATAGATGCATGTTAGGAAATATGAATATGCCAAACTTGAGATTGAAGACGTTGCCAAAAAAAATGATTGCACATTTTGTTTGGTTTTTTTTTTTTGTTTTCAGAAGAAAGGGATTTAGCAACACAGGCAAAATGCTTCGCAGCCAATTACATGAAATTACAAGACTAACCAGTATCAAACACTATTCAAAATGAACTTGCTTGTTTGAATTAGCTTTACACAGTATGAAGCTAGAGACAGCAAGAAAGGAGGGGAAGGAAGGTGGAAAAGAAGAGAAAGACAGGAGGGAGAGGGAGGAGAGAGGAAGGAAGGGAGAAGGGGAAGAGGGAGGGAGAGACGGAGGGAGGGAGAAAAGCTAACTCACTGCGGGATGAGGACATGAATTCTATAGAGGCACTTAGATACGATAATGCTAGATGCCTTAGACATGAGGTTTTGCATGTACCCACTGCAAAACCTGGATATAGAAAATACTAGGCTAAAGAGAAGTCATCTTGGTCTTGGTGAGATGTAACTTTGGGAATGCACTAAAATCTGTGTTTCTCTATTTCTGCAATAAAATCTGTTTTATGATACACCAGTGTCTTTTCTTCTATAAACTTGCTTTTACAATTTATTTTGTTATATTTTTACTTCAAGTAAAGATTACCCCAACTTAGCCTTCAATGCATTCGTAAACAGCAGGCATCTGTTACCTTTGACTTAGCGTGGAATGAGTAGAGAAGAAAGTGTGATAAAGAATGGGCCAGATCCCTTCTGCAATCACTACAGTGGACTGTGGTACAGCAGCAAAAGTACCAGTTTCTGTGCAGAAGCATTCATCAGTAATCCCTGAGTACACACAACTGAGGAAGTATCGAGATTAAAGGCTTCAGCTGCATGAAGGCATAGCACCAAGCTAACAGAAGCAATTCAGTATTGCAAAGAGGGTGGACTTTGTCTTTCACATCAAGTGCCTGAACTTTATTTCAGAATTTGCACTTAGACTGTGTAACATGCTGGATGGCTGCCCTAATTGGACCTGCATATTTTGAATGTCAGGAGAGTCCTCTGGGTATTGGTTAACTACATCCTTTCCTTCCACTTAAGAGTTGCGTGATATTCAACTTAACGATTCCTGCTACTTCTCTAATTCAAAGTAAAATGTTACTTTACAATTCAGTTAAGAACTGTCTGTGGTTTCTGTATTACAATAAACAGGGCTTAGTTTTTTTAAGTGTGAGAACACCTTCACTGTCTCCTTCCAAACCAGATGAAGTTTCTCCAGTATCTTTAGCCATCTAATCATTACCTTCTAGGCTTGATAATATTATAATGTACATTTCTGTTGTCAATATTTAACTTTTTATCATCGCTGGAATTCCATGCTGTGGTAGTTTAAAGTCTGTAATTCATTCCTGAATCACGTTACAGTGCATCTGATTTCAGAATAACACAATGTTTTTGTGGTGACCCGTGAAAGCCATAAATCAGACACTTTATCTTAGAAAACAGTATTTTACACACAGACAAAAATATTCATGACCTCTACTACCATAATAGCGATGTTAACTGAATAGTATGTATCAATTAAAGAGGCCATACTGTCTATATTCATCTCCACCCACTCCCCTATTTTTTTTTTTTCAAAAAGCTCTGTTTTTCCCAACAACTCTGCTAAAATTCTCTTTAACAATCCCAAGCTACAGGGATTTCATCCCTATTCAACTGACTATATGTTGTAAACTATTACTTTCCCATTACTAAGATTTATGTAGGTTTGTAGAAGAACCTTTGTAGAATACACAAGCTCTGAATGGGTGCAAGTACTCTGTCATAGCTCAAGGTAGATATTTCACCTTATCCTTAACAGTTTAGAAGCTGAAACTGTGCATAGAAGTAGAATTTGAAGACTGCCAAACCAGTACCCCTTTTTAAAGATAAAATTTCTCTCTAAAGGTTTAAAAAGTAGTTCTAAAGGTAGCTTTAGTAGTAACTAACAATTAGTATATTTTTTTTCCACCAGAAAATTAAGTTCTCAGGAAAAAAACCAATAAAACTCTTGTTTTAAGAAGTTATGCATATCCTAATCTAAAATGAGAAGTACTTAAGTCCTCCCTGCTTGCAGATTCGATGTTCGTAAACAAATAGAAAAACACTTTTCTGTATTAACCAAATGATTAAAAGCTCTAAGATGGTTTTAAATCTTTGAAAGTATCATCGTGCTGTATTATTATCGTTTCGTAACACAGAGGATATTTCTACACAAATAAGTCTATCAGTAAGAACCATCTACAGCAGGCAGCTCTCAAATATTTACATAAAATAAAACATATTTTCCAGAACAATTTTGTGACATTTGTAAAAACACTGTTGGATTTGGGGAAAAAATAGTTTTGATTACTTCTTGTTATAACTGTTTGATTCCTTGCTTGTCATAAATTGGTATGACAAACACCAGAGCTGCCAAAGGCATCCAGCACATCACTCTGGATACATAAATGTGCTTGTAAGTGCCACAACACTCCCTCTTTTTTCTCTCCTTATCTCTTCCAAAAATCAAAGGGTCAATTCTTCATTCAAAGGGGAAATCAAGCCAACGCTAGAAAGTCCAGCTGAATTCATGACTTAAAGTTCAGAGAAGACGATTAATGTCCAAAAAAAGGGTAAATGAATACATTTTACATCCACAAATTAATTATTTGACAGGGCCCCATTTTTACGAATGGTATTTGGTGCATAAGACGTTCACACAGCAGTGCTGTAGGCCCCTGCAATTTGGTTCAGATGTTTAAAAAGCTAAATTTTCCCAGGAAACGTACTGAGAGAGTGAAAATACGCATTGCCTACAGAAAATACCACTTAACCACAAGGCAGACAGACTTTACTCTAGTTGCAGTTTCCAGATTTTGCTTCAAGCTGTAGCTCTTTGCAGAATCCAAACTTGAGGTGACAAAGGCATGAAAAAAGTGTTGAAAAAAGTGACAGAAATGAAAGGGCTGTAACATTCACACCTACTACTATCTGTATTTGCAGAAAAGCAGGAAGAGACTCAAGATCACAAGGCTGTGAACTTGAATAATAAACAACT